ACTTGCGTGATGATGTCCATCCAGTAGTGGACCCTACTAGAGATATTAAAAGATCAGAAGGGTCCACCTTGCCCCTGTTTCCTCCTTGACTGCTAGCAGTCTGCATTAGGGCGAGGCCTGGCTCAAGAGGTTGTGAGAAATGAAGGTCAGGTTTTATGATTTGCTGACCGATGTCGACAATGCCACAGCTTAGTTCTATGGAAAGTGCGTACATGGTGTGAAACTGCCCTCAAAAGGCTACGACACTTGAGTAGCTATCGGCGATATATATTGCGAATGTCATTACTCATTTTGCCGGATGTTTGTCCGAGAGTGATTCTTGAAAACATGCAGAAGTTTCCGCAGAATTTGCTTCAAGTTCGGAGACACCATTTCCATTCTTGAATCTCCTGAATGTTACTATACACTCGGAAAGTTGACCGTAGATGCTGAGGAAAACCGAAAAGTGGACGAATAAAAGGGCTGAGATTTGACGCTGCTCCATGAAACTCCCCATTCTCTTTCCCGGATTGCCCTGCCTGGAAGTCTGAAAGATTAACTCAAACCCATATTGACCTCATCACCTAGGCCCAGTTCTCGCTCCGCTCGCTCTATACCACCTGTAGCTCGAGTAGCCCAGCGGTCTAGACGATCTTGAGCGTGGCCAATTTCCTTATCTCGAAGGCTGGCACTGTCACTATGCGAAATACTCCCGGGAACGCTGCTGTCCCGACCTTTACTACCATAACTTGCGTTGCTGGAATAGTTCGATGGCTTCCGAGAGTGCGCGATATCAATCGGTCTGGAGCCGGGGGTTCCGGAGGGGCTGTAACTGGTGGTAGAGGTTATTTTCCCAGCGTCCACGGAGGAGGTATTGGTGGAGGCTGGTAGCGCAGAGGAAGTGCTACTGGCTTTGTCGCTTACAGGTTTCGAACCCCCGAACCAACGTCTTTTCCGAGCCTTGGAGGAGGCTGACGGGGCGAGACTCACGGCATCGGTATCGACTGTTGAACCGTCAACGTTCCCTGACTCCCTCTCATTATCCAACGCCTGTGTTAAACTAGACTTGGCCGCAGCAGACGTGTTCTCAGTCGTTTGCTGTATCTCGACCAGTTCAGCGTCGCGGCACCACTTCCGACGACGAGTATAACGATCCCAGCCATCTTGCCCACGACGGCCATCATTCCACTGTAATCTCACGATGGGGGTTAAATAGGGGTCAACTGTCACGGACGGAGGTGCCGTCTCACCTTGTTATCGTAGTAGATCCACCCTCCGCCATCCGCTGCTTTACCATCTGTTTTGCTGTTCGTATCGTCAGCTCCTTCAATACGCCACTCGCTGCCGTCGACCCAGCGCCACTTGGCGTTCCCAGTCTGTACATCCGGGAGTTCAAAATCATCTTTGGACGGAACAGGGTTCAGGTGTTCATCGGTCCATGCAGCACGCTCAGAGGGAAACAAAGAGTATGTCCATCCAATTCCGAGCCACCGGCGTTGATTCTCATAGAGTACAAAGGTGAAGCGAACGCCCGAGGAATCCCCTCGCCGCCTTGTTGCAATAGTTGCAGCATGGCCGTGGCTCTGAGCCCAGAGGGATCGTGGTTTGTTGGCATTTAAGGAAAACGAAAGACCAGTAATCATGGAACATATTCGGCGCACAGTCAAGGATCTCCATAAAATGACTCGTGATACTCTTGCTGGTCGGGAGTGATAAGTGAGGATGATGGTGCCTATGGTCATGACAACACGGCGAGTTGTGATTAGGTAGAAGGGCGGAAGGGTCAATGCGATCCAGACGGGAGTCACAAAAAGAATTCGTATGAACATAGTCGTGAGAGCGGGTCTTGTAGTTGCAGAGGTCGCCGTCCTCTGAGTCGAGAGGAAATCCGTAAGCTCAAGGAGAGGCTCCAGGAGTATGTTGCACCGAGTAGTGAAAGTTCTTAATGTCTCGACAATCTCATCCAAAGTCTCGTGCTGATGCGAAGAACCATCAGAGGCACTCTTTTGGTGCTGTCGTTTCTCACCCGTGAATGCCGCCGTCGATAATGGAGAGAAGCGTCTCCAATACATGCCTAGAATTAACCCGATTACGACCAACATCGGGCCGGCCCAAAGAATAATCGCATCGCTGTACAGAACCACCGTCCAAAATCCCGCCACAAGAAGGAAGCTCTGCCACGGGTCGTCCGTTGTCCACGTGAGCAAGCCGGCGAGTTTATTCAAAGGAAGTATAAACGGATGAGAATAGGCCAAAGCTCGAGTGATGGCCGGAGGCGTGGCCACAAGAAGGGGGGATTTGCGATGTACAATTATGCTGGAATGCTGTCTGGACGTCAAGGATGAGCCTGAAATGGTAGTGGGCGAAAAAGCAGCAACCGTTGGCGGCTGAGAATCAGGCTGTAAGCCATGATCCTGCGCGTATGATGGGGCCATGGAATCTATCCACGGAATATCTTCTACCACAGCATCAGCATCTCCAGTATACTCTTCGATCGAATCGGCTCGATGTTGCTTTCTCCGCACTCGGGGATCCTTCCCCAGAATATGGGCGCAGCAAGGTGGTGATGGATTATAGTTGTGTCACGTACCGAGTGCTGCCATCCAACAGAGACGTCATATGCATCCAGCAAGCGCATTGCGGGCGGTATGGCGCGAAGGATAAGAAGAGAAGAGAAGGGAGAGGGAAAGGAGAGAAAGATATCCTGTCGAACCAGTAGAAAGGCTCTCCAAGAACCGAAAAAGGTGCAGGCAGATCATCGACTGCGGGGGAAACAGGTGCGATCCGCGGACAGTTTGAAGCCTTTTTGCTTGTGGTTCTCGGGACATGTGACTGCTTGTCCAAAAGAGGATACCAGGGCGATAAAGTGTACAAGAAAGAATAAGGATCTGTATCAATGTGCCATTATTGCTTTAAGATCAAAAATAGATTGAAAGTACAAATAATGTCAAGAGTAACTAACTGTATGCATTCCTCCACTGAACAGACCATAGTCTTCAGCTCTTTTGTCACTGGGCCGAACCCGACATCGCGACTGGACCAATTCCGCCGCCGAAATTTTTGCCGTTGAAAGACTGGCTTCAAGGTTCGATCTGCTATTCTCCGGTCATCCAGCGCCATCCATCCATCCCTCATCCCCCATCCCCCAGTCTCTTCGCGACCGGATAGGTACTCACTTTTAACCCAGTTATTCTTATTTTATTCTCTTCCTATTGAGAATTCTCTCTTCGATCTAGGTTCTTCAGTGCCTTTGATCTTCCTCGACTTTGATCTTCCTTTGCTTCCCTACTTCCTCCGACATGGTAAGTGCTTTTCTCAACAATGTTTTCGCCTTTCCCATAGGATCAAGCTTCAATCTCTTCATCGCCCGCAGGCGCACCTCGCTGACTCTTCGGCTACTTCATAGGCCCACCGTATCCTTACCCAGGTCGTCGTCACGGGCGCTCGAGTATTCGGTCGAGCCTTTGCAGAAGCTTACAAGCAGGCCTCCGCATCGTCCAAATACGCCCAGGCAAATAAGGGAAAGGGAGGAAGCTCAAGCACCTTTGCATCTTCCGGCTTGACACTCGATGAGGCGTGCAAGATTCTCAACGTCAAACCACCGGCCGGTGGAGAAACGAATGTGGAACATGTGATGGAACGGTTCAAGAAGCTGTTTGATCTGAATGATCCCCAGAAGGGCGGCAGCTTCTATCTGCAGAGCAAAATCTTGCGCGCTCGCGAGAGAATCGAGATGGAGATCCGACAAGCGGAGCGCAAAGCCGCACAGGAGAAAGAACTCCGGGAAGGCTGGAATCCCAAGGTGTACAAGGACCGGTGATTTGCCCTATTTCGCCGGAATTTGAAAATGTCGAGTTTGAGTGTGTTCGACTTCTACTCACGACGCTATGCGCTCTCGAATCGACCCGACCCGAACCCGCCGTCAATTTCTCGTACGGAACGGAGAGATCGATCATTGAGTTGGGACAGACTACGATCCGACGTCGCTTTCTGCTTTTTCATTGTTCTCCTTTCAGCTCTTCGGCATAGCAAGGCGTTTTGTTTGGTGGCTTCCAACGTTGGCATTGGAGACAATATAGACCCCTGCCCTTTGCATTGACTACTTCCATGTTCATTGCATGACACTGTTGGAGCGAATGATGTGGTCGCATCATGTTGTACACCGCTTCGCTCTCGACCTCTTGTTTTTCTCGGCCATGTGTCTAATTCTGCTCCTGCGCGGGTTTGTTCCCGTCTGTGTATATTATTCTCTGAGAAGCGGGATACATGGGAAACAGTATGCCTGAGTCACGGAGAGTTCGTCTCTTCTCTCAGCAAATACTGTCCTTTTCGCCTGTCTATCGCAAATTTTTCTCCACTCTTCTTTGCCTAGTTTATGGAAAGAATAAAGAAATGTACCATAGTATCCATGTGGTGACGGTCTGCTTTTGTCTATTCTCTTCCCCTGACAATGAAGTTTCCCGCGGGCTTTGTATAAATTGTAATATATTGCCTCCAGTCAATCACAGAATACTTATAGTTCAAGGAATCTCTCTTATCTTATATAGTAGGAAATGCTTATAAAGGTGCATAAGAAGGTCGCCAGGACTATTGCTTTTTTCGGGGTTCTCTCACCACCGCCTTGGAATCGATCGAGTGGAACCATCGATCCTGTCTCAGGTACCATCAATCAATGCTGCTTGCAAAAATCTTCCATCATCCAAGATCTCCCAACCTTCCATAGTCCCAGATTCGATCGATCAAATACAGTCGATGGGCCATGAAGTCCATCGCACCGATCTAAAGCAACACTAATCGGGCCCAGCCCATGGCGCCATTTCCTCCGAGGTGGGCATCCGCCCCGTGGGTTAGAAATCAATTCCAGAGAATAATAATGGCTCGCCTTCGCCCCTCCGAAGAAATATTACTCTTTTCATGACTGAACACTGTCTTGTTGATAGTCTCGCCAGTGAAGGTTGCAGCGCATTGCTTTTCTTACTTCAAAGACCTCAGTGAATTGCATACAAGTGGCAATCGCAATCATGGGGCGTCCCTCTGTCCCTCTGTCGGCGGATCTTCCGCCACTCATTATGGGCACCGCGACCTTCAATTCTCAGTACAATGAGGATCCATACGCCCTCCCCACGACAGAACTAGTTCATCGTGCTCTCTCAAACGGTGTCCGCGCTTTCGATACGTCTCCATATTACGGCCCAGCCGAAGAGCTTCTCGGTCGTGCTTTGGCTACTGATCACGTTCGCTCCAATTTTCCCCGTCATACGTACCGATTGCTCACCAAAGTGGGCCGAGTTGCAGCCTCTTCGTTTGACTATTCTCCGAAGTGGGTGAGGTACAGCGTGAAGCGCAGTTTGCGCCGCCTCCATACCGATTACTTGGACGTGGTCTACTGCCATGACGTTGAATTCGTGAGCCCCGAGCAGGTCCTCGAGGCGATTCGAGAGTTGCGCCGCATCCGCGATACCGAAGGCACTGTACACTACGTCGGCATATCGGGATACCCTGTGGATGTACTGTGCGACCTTGCAGAATTGATCTTGCGCGAGACAGGCGAGCCGCTCGACGTGGTGCAGTCATACGCCAATTTCACTCTCCAGAATACCCGACTGCTCACCCAAGGTCTCCCTCGGTTAGTGGCCGCCGGCGTCGATGTGATTCCCAATGCATCACCACTGGGTATGGGTCTTCTACGGCGTAAGGGTGTGCCCATTGGAAGCATGGGCGATTTTCACCCCGCTCCAGACGGTCTTCGGAAAGCTATTCACAGTGTGAGCGAGTGGGCCAACGCTCAAGGAGAGAAACTCGAAGTGATTGCGATTCGCTTCGCTCTCGAGTCGTGGCTCCGCGAGGGTGCTAAGGCTGGGGCTCTGGGCCCGCCTCTTGCGCGGTCCCCCGGCGCTGATCCGGGATTCCTCTCGGTCGCCCACATGGGAACGGGCGAGCGGCTAGGCGTCAGCGTCATGGGCGTCAGCAACATAGAGGAACTGAACGAGACATTGCGCGTTTGGCACAGCATTATCGACGGGTTGGAGAACCAGGACGACGAGGAAGACACCAGCGAACACGCTCAGGCCGCGGCTATACCTACCGCTTACCAAGCGCCAGCCATTCTCACGCCGTCTGAAGGAGTCATCACCGACCGCGCTTGGTCCAAGTCACGTCGCAGTCGCATTTTGTCCCTCGCCCAAGGCATCCAGTCCATGCTTGGCCCGGAATGGGTGGACTATACATGGCCCAGCCCTGGCCCAGATTTTGTTAATTCGCTGCCCGCCGAGCATCTCGCTCTCTTGGAACAACTGGACATTGAAACGGTAATTTCTAAAAATCAGGATGCCGATATGGTTACCGGAAAGCAGGATGAGCCTATGGTAACGCCTCCTTTGGACGCGGTGGACAAGCAGATACCCCTTGGCACAGCGCCATCCAATATTGCTTTATGATATTTCTCCTTGACTCCATGACCCATGATAATGAGCATTCACATTGTCACAATTCATAGGGAAGGGTATGCAAGGGTCTCCTCTTCTCGAACCTTACCTGAGATATTGCCGATTTTCTCTGCTTTTCCTTTGGAAGCACCATTTATTCATCTTTAAGACTTATAGACGTCTTTTCATAGGACAAATAAACCTCCTTTGCATATGTGTCGGTTCGAACCAGCAGCAATTCTTCCGGATCATCCTCTTCAAGCAATCGCATCTAGCGCTCCCTTGATGAGAAAGAGGTGGAAGGAAATTTTCTGCAAAACGGAACGGAGGTGATTGCATCTCCGTGACCTGTAGCATTTCGAAATTCTTAAAGTCAATATTGTTTCTCAACTAGCCATTTCAGGTTCATAATGGATCAATAAGCTTCGCCCCGCCTCGGGATGTGAATATATGCCGGGACGGTCCAACCAGCCTTGCGGGATGGCTGGCAGTAGATGAAATCTGTGTTCGATTGAGACGCTCGACCAAAGAAATCACTGTATCTGTCAGCGCCGGCACACAGTCCAATATGTTGCTGTTAGAACATGTGATATCTGTTTAGGGAGCATAGGAATAACAGGCAGCCCATATCGACCCAAAGGGCTCGACTGTCAGGGTCTGCACCTTTTAGGGACAGGAGGTAAAAGCAACATGAACAGAAGTACGAATCACCGACTCTTTCGTAAAATCAGAACACCCCGAGAACCGATAACGACAACTAGCATAGCATCCCACCCTATCCACAAACTCAAAGAGAACTCCAAATATACTCAAACACGGGTATCTGATGCAAATCGTGACGAAACTAGAGAAGGAAACCGAAGAGAACAAAGAATCGAGAATCAAGTCACCCGGATAGACCTCAACAGAGGGATGTCACTGATTGTGGGCACAGTAAGGAAGCGTCAAGGCCGTTGAAATCTGACGCCAAATTTCGGGCCAGGTATTCACCTGACTAACTGCAGAGTTAGTCTCAACTGGTTCCATTCATCTCTCTTTCTCGACCTGTGAGGTCTTTGTCCATCTCAGATTGGCTTTTATAACCACCAAGACTCAAGGCTTGCTCATTACTGATGGAGTTTGGAACAGCAGGTATATCAGGGCGCAAACGTCTAAGACGAGCGGCCCGTTCTCGCGATGCTTGTTGCTTTCTTTGCATCTTGGTCATCTTCTCCTTGGGGTCCTTGGATGCTGGCGCTGGAGGAGCTTTGGAATGTTTCGCTGGAGGTTTAGCAGGCAGATTAGGTGGCAGAGGAGCAAGGTCGGCAGGAGGTGGAGGAGGTGCCTCTCGGGGAGGTGGCGGAGGTGTGGGAGCTCGACGGTACTGAGCAAATCTGGGATGGGTATCAAACACCGCACGTAGCTGCGAACGCTGCTGCGTGTACTCCTCATAATTTGCAGCGATGATACTTTGCAAAATACTGGCTTTTGTATCGCCAGACACCGCCGAGGAGACTATACGTTCCTTAAGAAGTTGGAATGCCTTCGAGAACGACTTGAAGATCAGATGGATTTCCCGGGTTCCACCCGACACATCGTTATCCGGGTTGTTGGGATCCTCGATTGATAAACGAGCATCATTACTCCCTTGGAAAACCTTGTACACTCTCTACAGGAAGCGTGTCATCAGTGGATGGGAAGCTCCGCCCGGGTTTGCATTCAGACACTCACCTTGTTGAAATAACCCGGCGGATTCAGGCGAATACCAACGTTTTCGAAGTCGAAATTGTTGCCGTAGAATTCGAAAAAATCCATGAGAATGCTGCCCAGATTAGGCGCTGTGTGACCATGTGGTAGATGCTGAAGAAGGCTGGTAACGAGGCAGGTTATGGAGAACCCTCCCAGGCCACCAGTTGGGACCTCATTAAGACCACGAAGTAGCAAAAATTGCTTAACCACCGATACGATCACGGGCATCGCCGGATACTCCGATTTCCAGTTTTGAAATGTGTTGTTGGCGATGAGCCCGCTGTCATTGTCAAACGACAGATCAACCCGCAAACCGGTCATCTTGTCCACGAACTTCAGAATCGGAACGCGCGCATGCGCGATGGTCTCGATTGAATTGGGAACGGCGATTTCGAGATTCTTGAGAAAGGCCGCGAAAGCGTAGATCTGCCCTTTACGCTCACCAAAAGTCTTGATGCCGTTGCGCATGAAATTTGATGACAGAAGAACAAGATCTATATCCGCAGTGGGCAGATACAAGCCAGAAGCGAACGAGCCGAACGGGCGAAGTTGTACACCATAGTACCTGCTTTGGAATGCCACTTGCAGCCTCGTAACCAAATCTGCTCGGACAATCTGCTCATACTGCACCGGTTTGACCCAGTGGTAGAAACTCAGAATTTCATTGTGCAGCCGAGAACCCAGGTGCAAGGAAGGCTCCATGAGGGACATCCAAGGAGTTGCATCCTCATGCGGGCGCGATCTCCACTCATCAATAATCGAGCCATCATCGTAGAACCTGATCATGGGCCGTCCGGTCTTCTTGGAGAAGCCCTTTATCTCGTCATCGTGTGTTCTTTTCCGGCTCCCGATAGCAGCGTCTCTTCCTTGCAGACGTTTCGGCCCCGAAGGAGCATTGTCCGGTACTTTCATCCTGGCTTCCTCTTCGTCGACCAAGCCACTGAAGGAGATAAAGTCCTCATTGGTCGTCACTGCATCCGCTGGTGCTGTCTGCTTGGCGTTCTCAGCGATCCGCGCCTTACGAATCAGCTTGACCACGTCGACCCTCTTCGCCAAAGTCTCATCAGGCGGGGGTAGGACAGTGTAAGGATCTGGATTGGACCATTTTGGAGCTGTGACTGGTGCAGGAGTAGGAGCCGTCGCATTACTTGTTCCTAGCGCACGCTTCCTACGCGGATGCGAAGCTTCATCGTCCTTATCATCATCAGACATGTCCATCTCGGCTTCCTCGCTGTCACTGAGGCTTGAAATAGCCGCGAACTTCATGGCCGGTTTCTCATCTCCTGCTTTAGCACCCAAGATGGGCTCTGGAGTGGTTTCTCTTTTGGTGGTCAAGAGCGGTCGTTCGGCCGTCGCGGGTCGTGCATACCGGAAAGTGAACTCATGTCTTGGGTTATTGTTATTGTGCGACCGTCGATCGTTGCCTCGAAACTCGAAAGCTGGCGGCATAATTGTACCGCAGCTGGCAAAATTCGAGTATGAACAGAGAAAATGAGACTATGAAACGAGAGATGGAGACGGGAGGTTGCACCAACGAAGAAAGCGATGATGCATCGAACGACGCGACTTTTTTTTTCCTCTCACTTTGCGATTTTGATTCCGCCCGAAGGGAAAAAAGTCGCGGGGACCGATAGTGTATCAGGAAGGCGGTGAGGGTTACTTTGTCAGTTGTCTTCGATGCGGTTACGGAAACAGCTCTCTATGCAGCAACTTATCAACAACGTCCACTCTGACACACTGACACACTGACACACTGACACACTGACACACTGACACACTGACACACTGACACACTGGCTCGAACGGTCACTTATGGGTCGAAATGCTCGATACAGAAAGAGCCTGTCTATTTTCTTCAATGGAACGATGATGCCGTTAAGATCTTGATCATCCTGACCTCAAGTATTAGGGCCTTTCTTGCTTTTCCCCCGATTTTTCAATCCAACTTCCAATCGCTCAATAAACTCCTGATCCAAGGCCATTTCTTTGAAACTTACTCGCTCAGTTGCCCATTCTAACCATTCCTCAGCTTTGACACCGCTTCTGGCTCGGAGAAGACCTGTGCTCACGTCTACCACGTGCGGCCTTTCTTGACAGTGCCAGAACACAGTTGCGCCACAGCGACTGCAGAATTCCCGGTAGACTCCTGGACGACTTTCATATTGCTGCATTGTCCCCCAGCCATAGACTAGGGGCCTTCCGTCGCCGAGAATGATGTTTGATTTGGGAATGAAAGCCCAGGACTGGATGGAAAACCCACTGGCCAGACGACATGATCGACAGGCGCAGGTTCCGACCAGATATTTGGTATCTCCATCTCGCAGCCACCACTTGACATCTTCTATATTATCCGGGGGTGCCAAATGGTAGGGAACAATCAAATCTGGCCAAGGCGACCATGGCTTGGCGGAGTTTGAGTCTGGCGGTGTGATGTAGAATTCAACGCCCCCACAGTGACATCGAGCCTGCAGCCTGTGGGAGCCATGATCTTGTTCCTCAGGCTTGTGGTTTTCCTCGGCGTGTTCGTTACGGATATTCTGCCCGACGTCTAACCAGCATGCTGAGGTTGTTTCTTTGGAGTCTCCGGGCAAAAAAGAGCTCAAGCCGCCATCGCGAGTATCTTCAACTTTCCAATGCTGTACAAGCCTAACCGGCGGGGGTTTCTCCAATAATACTCCAGCTGCGACCAAAGTGTTGCCAGTGGCTTCCAGCCGGGCGAACACATGAGCTCCACAGGTTCTACAGAAATAGCGGCTGATACAGTCCGACTGCTGGTATTTTTGCAGACGACCCAAGTTCGGGCCCGGGGTCTGCAGGAAATAGTAAGAGGAATACAGCATGCCCGTAATGGCCCGACAGTCGATGCAGTGGCATAGATTAAGCGTCGAGGTGTCAGAAACCGAGTCAAGCAAGACGTCTTGCGCTGCATCACCGCACAGGCACGAGATGGGGCGAGTCATTGCGTCCGTAGCCATGGAGGTGATTAATGTTACTAATAATTTCAAACAGCAAGGTGGTGAAAACCTCCCTCAAATCTCCCTCTAATCATTATTCTTAAGAAGATCTGCAATTTGCTGTGGGAAATATCTGAATTTTGTCAGTACGCTGGTTTCTAGAAGACTCAAGCCTATGGGCAGTTACCTGGCCTCGCATATGAAGATATGTCTCGTTGTAACCAGGAAAAAACACTCCAAGACTGTGGAATCTGCTTTCAGAACCATTTATTGGCGACTTCGAGATCATCGACGTGCAGAAATCTGCTCACATCGAAGTCGGCGTGGCGGAATACTCGCTGAAGGCAGAGGTAAGATGTACTAGTTGGGGGTAGTCTAAGAATGGCAGGCAGCCTTGGCCTATATAAATTATAAAGCAACCCCGCCCTGGGTGACCTTGGGTTTCAGATTTTGACAACCTCCAAAACTTCACACAAAGCCTTTTCTCGAGACCGTCTCAATCAGACAGAGCTGTTCCCTTCGATATATCACTCCATAACATCATCATGAGTAGGTGCCTGCTTCATATACCAATGAATCGTTGTTGTTATATTGTCAGTTGAGGGGAAGCGGGGTGTCCAACACCACCGTCGTATTCCCTTTCAATTATGCTTGCGATATTTGTCTGCTTTTATATTAAGGCCCTCATACCTCATCTACACTTGTTCTCACGCGAATTCTTTTGAGAGTTTCGACCTTCCACTGACATGAAGTGTCTTCCTCATAGGCGACCACGGCTGCACCTGCGGTGCCTCTTGCCAGTGCCCTGCTGGTCAATGCAACTGCCCCGTACGTTTTTATCTCAACCTATAGCTTTTCTATCCTCTATCCTGGACTCCTGCTGACATGACTATTGGTTTCAGAAGAGATAGAGCGGATGACAGGTTTTGCTTGACCCAATGCTGCGAAGCTTAGGGGACATACTATGTTTGCCTTGTTCTGGAGATAGAGCAACAGTCGGCTAGATCCGAAGCAATAAAGAAAGAAGAACCCTCTTTGCTCTCAATATCTGGGCTCTACAATTACTCTTTGCAAATATCAGTTAGATATAGCAGTAATACCTAGATTCGAATGCTCTATAAACAACAAATTACGGTATGCCCTAAGTTCATTGTCATGGATGACCATGAGACAAAGCATATACTACCATAGTTATCCTCGGGCGTTCTTCCACCAAACTGCAGCAGTTAGCAAACTCCAAGTGACGAGCAGAACAATAATACCCACCGGAAGCTGCTTGAAGCCCTCGGACCATCATAAGATCAACAACGTGTGACCAAGTCGCCCGGTTCTCTTCCAATCCGGTGCGAATGTGGGGAGTTGCCTCGAATCTGCCAATCTTACCACTTCGTACAGAAACTCTGAAAGGCTCATTGCGACGCCTTATTTCTTACTTGGATCCGAGCCGATCATCAGGTGCAAGTTTTGGCGCGGATCCCGCGGTTAGAGCACCATATGAGGTATATGTTGTACATCTGAATCCTTTCCTGTCTCCATATTGCTTTTGACTTGATCATGAGGAAGAGGATGATATACCCCCCACTAATCTCAGCTGGAACATCCACTCTTCTTGCGCATGAGCTCGAGGAAAAGGAATACCATCTTTTGAACCAATGACTGCGTTGTAGATCCTGGTGTATGTAGAGGGGTTAATGGAGGGGCAGTGAAGCGTTACCTAAGGCAGCCAGTTCAGGACTTGCCTGCATATCCACCCACTCGTGTCGTTCCACAGCCCAATGCTAAGGTACAGTCAGAGAAGCTATGGATTGCTTTACGGAGTATGGTGGCTTGAGATTCTGAATAAAAGCAAGGGTGGGATGACTGCATTCCCGGAGCTTCTTGCCTATGGCCTGGTCTTCTGTTCTACCTGTCGGATCAACATGATCGAAAATTCCTTGCAGGAAGCTGCTTGAGAGATAGGAATAATGAATCTTTCTGATTGTCACAGTGGATTCTTTGGTTCCCTTTATGTCCACTACCTAGACACGCATGCATACTGAACTGTTGTTTACTACACTAGTACGTACTACTGTGGAACAAATATGTAGGTACTGCTAGTATTCAGTATTCTCGTAAGAGCGTGGGAGATTCTAGCATTGCGTTACTAAGAGACATAGTAATAGGAATAAGACAATATACATACCTGGCAAAAAAAGCATTTTTAGCAATAATCGGTTTGCAAACTCTCCCTCTTACTTGCTGCCTCACTTTGAAATATGCCTAGAGGCCTGCTCACGGTTCTGCTGTGATCAATATCAGATAATACGATGGATGACTGACTGAGCAACCGTATGTACTTACCTAGCTCTGGCTTATCCCATGTAGCCTAGTTGCCTGGCAAATCATGGCTGTGTACCCAGGCCAGTGCTGAAACAAAAGCTGAATGTTGACTCTCACGGGTCTATCGCTTTGCTTCTTTCCCCCTCCATATACCCCCACATAGTCAGTTAGTTCCAAGCCCAGCATACATACAGTAGTGGTATCGTAGCACCACACTGACCACCAGAAAGGCACTCCGAGAAAACTGAAATCAGATTGGATTATCTGACAACAAATCAGAAAACAAGAGGAAAACAAATCAAAATTGGCGTGGCGACACACAGAGACAAGACTGATCTTTGCCGACGAACCCAAAAGCAAATACCTCACTGGCTGACCTGACCCTCATACTGACTGATGACTGACCACCTCTGGGTATAAAGGCAGCCTTGGTCCCCTCTCTCTGTTCATTTTCTTCCTTCCCCTTCTCATCCCGAGCCTGTTATCCTACCGAGCTTTGTACCAACTGATCCATTCAATCTCAGAGCCTATCTTCCTCAAGCAACCCTTCTTTCACCACCGACTCAATCACCATGACTCCCTGCACCTGCAACTCCTGCGGCTGCTCTAGCGACTGCAACGGCTGCCAGTGCTCCTCTTGCGGAGTAAGTATCTCCCAGACATTCGCAGTCATCCCTAGTCTCTATTGAAGCTAACAATCCTCAGCACTAATTGCACATTAAGCCCACCGGCCCTCATCTTCGAGACGACCGACAAACGTCATGCATTTACTGCAGAATTCCCTGACTCGACGTCATCAAGTACGCTACCGTTGACGTCCTGAGCTATGCCAATTCCGTGGTTGTCTTGAGGCTGGCGGCTGTGATGTGTTTTCATTCCTTGTTGATTTGCTACATGCTTCTCTGTGTGAGTCCGTGGATGGGCACAGCATGATTGAAGCGACGTTTCAGTCGCTTGTTTTATGACATGACAGGATAGGAAATTCAAGTTCTATCTTCACATTTATAACGCATGTACCCATGTCCCCTAACGTAGTCAACACGAGCTTTAAAAGTCGACATTTGAGTTCTCATGTTCAAAGCTCGGTATGGTCTGGTAATCGTCGGAAATGTCACCTCATGTCTGATAGCAACCTGATGGATTGGCTCTTGTTGGATTAGACATTATCTTGCTATGAAGGATGTGGACATGTATTCGCAAGTGGATCCTTCCAGACGTTGGCTTTCTGGGACTGCGAACATGCCGCAACAACCTTCGGCTACGTAGATGGAGAGATATTATAAGGTAGAATACCTTTGCGGAGGAAGGGGAGCGCTTTGCTATATTAGACCTACGGGCATAGCGTCTTATAGATCGAACATAGAGCTTAAATTACCTTAGGAATCCAGCAACACCCCCGGGACTCTTCAGATTCCTCCACAGTTAATGCCCGTAGTGCAGCCTAGTTCCGTTATTCCTCGGTGCCGGAACGCAGTGAAGCCTCAAGCTGGTGATTTTGCGCTGTGTATCTTGAAGCAATGTCTGACAAGGCAGAAAGAACTAACCCTCGCATGCGATGTTATATTGAACCTGTAAAATCATCATGGAAGTGAGACGCTATACATCAACTCAAAACCCAAGATCAGATCAACATCCGCTTCTACAATTCATCCTTGCGCCTTGGTGCCACATCGCCTTCCTCTTCTCCTCCCGGACATACCGCCGGCGTGGTGACAATCATGGAATAGACACACTTCTCGTCCTCCGTCACTTTGAGGATTTCGTTTTCCTGCCCACATTCCAAGATGACTGTGGTCGACCGAGCCGGTCCATTCCAGCAGGTCTGCCCGTTCGCGTACTCTAGAGAAACCCGTTCCTCGGGCACAATCTCGCCCGTCGCGTTGAGCTCGTCGACGCTGACAGATCCGATACGAACGAATTTACCCATCCGAACAGATGCTCCGCCTTTCTTGGGAATCTGCTTGGTCTGATCCAAGAAGCAATGTTCATACGTATACTCCCCGGAATCCTTGGAGATGCAAACGCCTTTAAGAGCGCGGAAAACGCCGGCCCTACCATAGTCGGTTTCAAGATCAGCTTGATGGTTTTTCAGCTGAGTATATAGTTCCGCAAGACTAGTCTTGGACGATTCAAGGGCGTCGCGAGCTTCTGTCACTGCCTTGGATTCGGAAGTCGAGCTTTCTTCCTTCTTGGGCAGAATGCCGTTATTCTCGAGGAAGCTCCGAATGGAAATCACTTTATCCTCCACAAAGGACACAATAGAAGGAGGCAGGTAAGCCGCCAGCTTGTAGACTAAATGAAAGGTCAGCAACCGAACAAGCATACACAATGAATAGCTCAAGCACGAACCTGCATCAGACTCGCATCCGTCCTCCTCATTTTCCCACTGCTCCCAGTTAACTCCCGATGTGTCGTCATCAGGTTTAGCAATTTCATCCAGATCTCGGTCACGGGCGCTGTTTCCGAGGTTGCCCACGTCCTCTCTGGCAGCATACTCCTCCCAACTGCGCACAGCTCGTTTGACACCCTCGTCGTTGAAATTGGGATTGTATTCAACCTTGAACTTGGACAAAATATCCTCGAGCTCTTGTAACCGCGATCGAGCCTCATCCCTCTCCTTGCGAACCTCTACCAGCGCATTCCGGAGCTCCTCAACCCGTCCTTTGGCCAAGGAGGCAAGGATGTTGACCTTGCCTGCCTTCTTGCCCCTCACCATTTTGCTCTCTTCCCGCTTCTTCACCTCCTCAAATTCAGCCTCCATGTCCTTCACCTTAATCTCTTGCGCCTGGACTTCAGCTTCGAGTCTCTTGATGTGATCCTCGATATCCTTTTGCTGTCGGCCCGAATCTACGAGCAGGTCTCTCTTCTTCTTGAGGGCAGCTGTCATAGACTTCGCTCTCTTCTCCTCTTGTTTGCGCCATTGCTTCCCAATCTCTTTGCATTTGTCCTCGCACTTGGTGCCCCCGACGTGCGCCCACTCGTCACTCCCGTCACAGCAGAACTCATAGTCGCAGATACCGTCATTCACTCGCTGAAAAGAAACATATGACGGCTTATGGCCTTTATTCTTGCAATAAAATCCCGGGAGGGCAAGTGTAAGTTCGAGGTCGCTGTTCCCCGGGCGATCGGCGACTGTCAGTGGGGAATTACGGGATAAATAAGAACATGCTGACGTCCCAGGCTCATCGCTGCCGTCTGGACAGTCACAGTAGTCATCGTTCACAGCAGAGAAGGGGATCTGTATAGCTGGGTTCGATATACAACTGAATGTTGTGGAGTCTTTGTAGAACTTGGCAACTAGTGCACGCGGTTTGCGCCATTAGCTTGCCTGCAACTCATAAAAGGGTTTATAATGATTTTGGTCACAGGAACATGATAAGCAGAGCTTTTTGGGAGGCGAATTATTATGGAGGGCGAACCGACCATTCACATAAGCTAGGATTCGTGGTAATAGTATACTTACATTCTGGACCGACCCCCCGAGGTCTTGCCGTACCATCGCTCGCGGCAGCCGCTGCAGTAGAGCATGCGGCTATGCTCACAAAGAAGAGCGCTCTTTGAGAAAGTATCATGATGCAAGCATTGAGCTCGCTCGTCAATGCCTTGTTGTGCCCGGAACAGTTGTTCTATAGGAATGCGGAGAGAGCTTCTGGCCAGCTGTTGATAACGCCCACTTTAAGGTCGCGGATCTAATCTGGGGAGAATGGCCCGGCGCCTTAGTCATCCCGCTATCATTCTTCAGTGGCAAGCGACAAGCTGATCTTTCAATGAGATCGGCGCAACACTTCTCAGTTACTCGATATACGCTTTTCTGTAATTAATCGCTGCAGAAAAATGGGTAATGATGGTGGCAGGTGAGTTTTCTTGATGCACTTTATCAGTGGGATTGTCCTGAACTAAGGTGTTGCACAGTATCCCAACCCGCCGCGAGCTCGTCAGAGAGGCCGCAAAAGCTCCTAGCACGACGCAAGTGAAAGAGGCCCAGCGCGAAATGCAGGAACATTTTTGGACCACCTGTCCGTTGTCGCATAAACATTTAGCTCGACCAATTGTCTCCGACTGTGTCGGCAATCTTTACAATAAGGATGCAATATTGGAATTCCTGCTTCCCGGTGACGACGCTCATGGTATCAGCTCTAAAGCAGACTGTGAAGAGATCTTATGCGGGCGGGTGAAGGGACTTCGTGATGTCGTTGAGCTGAAGTTTGAAGTCGATACGGAGCGCGGCGAACACCCATCCAGCAAGCATGATAGACGCGAAGCATGGATCTGTCCCGTGACTGCTAAGCAGCTAGGCCCGAGTGTGAAGTCGGTCTACCTGGTCCCATGCGGCCATGTTTTCTCTGAAGAAGCCATTCGCCAACTTAAAGACGATAAATGTCTACAGGTATGTTGATCGTCAGCCACATTTCATCCCCCCGACTTCTTGCTAACTAGTCCGCGACGCGCAGTGCAACGAGTCATACGCCGAGGATAACGTTATCCCAATCCTTCCACCGAAAGAAACAGAAAAGCAACGGCTGATGGCGAGAGCGCAAAAACTAGCCGAGCAAGGGCTTACTCATTCGCTCAAGAAAGCTCCTGGCTCCAAAAAGCGCAAGAAGCATGCCAATGGAGATTCCGCTGAGACTGGAGCCACTACCGAAGGAGACTCCAAGTCAGCCCTGGCTTCGCAATCACAAAAGGATCGGGATGCAGCCTCGAGTCGAAGTAATACCTCGACTCCGACCCCCAGTGCATCGAATGGCATCAAGAACGCGGCAACTGCGATGCTGACCGCGCGAGTCCTGGAAGAGGAGAACGACAAGAAAAAGCGTCGGAAAATGATGGGTGCAAACGAGAATATCAGCAGTCTTTTTACTAAAAACTCTGGAGAAGTCAAGTCCAGCACTAGTGACTTTATGACGAGAGGATACACGATGCCCTCTAGGAGATGATGAACTCTGATGTGTGCATTTCCTGAAGGCGTTCGGCGTTAATTGGGTAGGCTTGTCGGCTACTGCACCGGCTCTTCTGATAAATTCAATATTTGATAGATGCTTTAGCACCAACTTGATTCTGTAAATATTCCCAAAGAATACTTCATGTATTGTACAAATATTCCCCTATTCAGAAAAGAAAGAGAACATGCTACCTAAAACTATATGACAAATGTAGTGGAACATTCTAAACCTCAAGGCTCATTTATTCAATGAGGCCTCTTGCGCGAAATTCAGATTCAATGATCTTCTTCCGACCCAATTCCTCATCCTTGTGCAAAGCTGTCTGGCGCTTAGTAAAGAGCTTGACGTTGGGCAGGTGCTGAAGCTCGGGGTTGTTGGCTAATTGATCGGCCAACTTTGTGGGCTTCGGATGGACGACTCCCTCGATGTATTCTACTGCTTGCTTGACTGTGGAGATCGAATGCATGACAGGATCAGGGAAATAGTGACCGCTCAATTGAGACAATCTCTTGAGGAACTATGATAATGCAAAGTCAGCCCAAGGCCTCATTAGAGACTAACTCAAAGACGTGAGACGACTTACAGCAAATTTTGTTTCTGGATCGTTCAATGACAGAGAAAGGAATCCCTTATCCTGCACACTACGATAACCGAAGAATGGAGGGGTGTGGGCCTTCGATGTCGACTCTTCGACGGGTTCCTCATATTCTGCTGTCTCAGCGTCCTCTTGCACTTCTTCCTCGGCTACCTCTGGTGCGGCGGTTGTCTCAGCTCGTCCACCAATCTGCTCGAAGATGTAAACGAGAACATCCTTCGCCTCGCCGTCCGGATAGATCAAAGATTCGCCCCATTGACTCTCTGCTTTCGGCTCGATCTTGCACTGCCAGATCAGCTTGAAAACGGGCTTTTCGTGTTCCACAACGTCGCAGATCCTCGTGAGTGGCTTCTTCAGCGCATGCATCAGGCAGAGTTCGACTGCGGCTTGGTGAGCTGCCAAATGGAGGTGGCCCTTCTTGGTCAGTTTCCTCTTGAGCATAAAACTGGAGTCTCGGTCAGTAAAGAGCTCATAGTCGTCCACCGAAGCTGCCGCGGCCGCGAAAAGAGCGCCTGACGGCGTGGAGAGGAAGAGAAGCAAAACTTACGGGTTGAACGCATCAGCCTCCGTAGGGGGAAGGTCTGACCACTTCCCCAGGTGACCAATACGAGGAAGACCCTCCCATGTTGTTGCTGGATCGTAGGTATCACCAGATAAGACATCCTCGCTCTGGGTTTCCAGAGCTTCAGTGGACCCGCGAGCCGGTTCTTCCTCCTGCTGTCCAGATTGATTCTTCCATTTCCGCTCGAGAACACCTTCGCCTCCATATGGATCTTTTAAGCCTGGCGGATTGTCCGTTCCCCAAATCTTGCGGCGCACTCGTTCGGTGAGAGGTGTTGCGTTCGAGGCATTTCGCAGGAATTGACGGACAAGGACGGGGCGCGGCCGCACCTCCTGTCTACAGATCGAACAAACGTAAAGAGTCCTGGACCCTTGGAGGCGTGACACCTCCAGGTTCAATAGCCGCAGTGATTGACGCATGACTGCGGCGTTGCGGAAATTGTTGACTATCAACAGCCTTTCGAAAAGTTTCATGCCGAGCGATCTTCTGGACAGAAACTATCACGTGACTTCAAAAGAGTCTTGGCGCTACGAGCAATTTATGCCTATTGCTCACCATTATTTATGGTTTACCTTGCAGGAATTTCATATAAATTTTTGAGTATAAGGATGGAGAAAATGCGGAACATAGCAAAGGGATATCTAGTTTAACGCTATGATGTATATACATATCTTTACGCTGTTATCATAACAAAGATACACTCCAGTCGAAAAAAGCATACGAGATGGAATCACCACATTTACTCTCGAACGAACATACCCGCCATACCCATGCCAGTTCCAATGCACATACTGACTACACCAACATCCTGGCCAGTGCGTTGGAGCTCAGGCAGCAAAGTGGCGAGCTGCCTGGCACCAGTAGCACCCAAGGGGTGACCAATCGCGATGGCACCACCCTTGGGGTTAACCTTGGCTTCGTCAATCCCAAGCTTGCGCACAGAGTAAAGAGCCTGCGATGCGAAAGCCTCGTTGATCTCCCAGATACCGACGTCGGAAACATTCATGCCGACAAGTTCAAGAAGTTTGGGAATGGCAACCGCGGGTCCCACACCCATCTCATCGGGAGCACATCCAGCCACAGCTGTGGCAACCCAGCGAGCCTGGATTGAAGCAGTCAAGCCAAGTTCCGTAGCGGTAGAACGGCGCATCAACAAAGCAGCAGCGGCACCATCGCTGACCTGCGAGCTGTTTCCAGCGGTGCTGGTGCCATCTGCCTTGAAGGCAGGCTTCAGAGTTGCCATCTTCTCAGCAGAAATGTTGTGACGGATACCGTCGTCTTTTGTCACGGTGATTTCCTTGGGGGCAGCATCGGGATTCTCAGGGTCAAAAGAAAGGGTCTTGACAGGCACGATTTCGGTGTCAAACAGGCCAGCATTTTGGGCAGCTGTAGCCTTCTTGTGTGACTCGGCCGCGAATGCATCCTGGTCTGCCCTCGAGATACCGTACCGGGCGGCGACGTTCTCAGAAGTAATTCCCATGGGCATGATGCAATCTCTAGCATCCTTGGATGGCGACTCTTTCAATTCAGGCCATAATACTGTCGGGATAGCACGGGATCCGTAGTTCCGGGTCATAGACTCCATACCACCACCAACGCCGACGTTCAGTGCACCTGCCCGAATTCCATTACCAATGGCTGTAATAGCGGCCAGGCCGGACGAGCATTGTCTGTTGATTGTGTGGAAAGGCACCGAGTGGGGGAAGCCGGCGTGGATCTGAGCCATGCGCCCTGCTTTGGCACCGCCCAATTCCTGGAGGACGGAGCCGATAGCGACATCGTCAATCAAAGCTGGGTCAAGGTTCGGGTTCGCCCTAAGAGTCGCCTTGAGCACGTGGGTGAGAAGCTCTTCGGGATAAGCATCCTTGAATCCACCCTTCTTCGCGCGAGTCACTGGTGTACGAAGGGCGGAGAGAATGACGATATCTGAAGGGGACTTCTGGAGGACCTGGCGAAGGCCTCGGGGCACAGGAGAGGCCATTTGGACGTCTGTGAGAGTGGTCTGTGGCCGCCACAATCGGAGACTGGCGCCTGTCGAGATCAATTCTGGGGTCTCAGAGAGTCAAGGAGAGCAAAGTTGTGCGGCCGGGACAATGACCATATATGCTCCAAAACACCTTCGAAGAGCAGGATTAGTTACTTTCGCCTCAAATCGCTCAGAGGAAAATAAGGACCCAGCAAAATACTTATACAAAAGAGGCTACCCGGCCAGGATTCCGGGGTTCGGGACCCGTCATGCCTAGACGAGGCCGTTGAAGCTGCCATTGAACTGCCGGCAATGAAGCTCGGCTAAGGGCTCTGCCGCCAACAGCGAAAACCAGCAAAAGGTTGCGGAGGCAATCTGAGGTGGGATGTGGGGGATGTTATCGCTCATAGAAATGCACCATGCAACTCAAGGCCTTGGCTGTTGTACTCGACTCCCATTCACATTGTCCGTATATTCCCGCCCTGCTCAAATACTTCTAAGATCATCTTGCTCATCTTCTTTACACCTTCAAGCACCATTCACCTTCGGGTATCTGGCGGGGGGAAATCCGACCGCTGATCGGATGCGGTGGCTTACGTCATCGGTCTCGGATCGGCCTGTCGGAAAAGAGAAAACAGCAAGTAACTTCGAGCCTCTACATGCCTGACCTGGTACGATCATGTAGAACAAAAAATGAAAGGTCGAGATCTTCATTCATTGGAATTATTGAGCATTAATGCACATGTGGATTGTGTGGCCCAATTGTTAGAAAGCACTGAAGCTCTGTTGCGATCTCTGAACCGTTGCTTCCATGGGTATATTAGTTCAAGAGCACTCAAAGACAAATCATGATGGTAAGACAGGTATCATCAGAAAGGTCACATGGTCGTGAAGGAGGGATTGTTACATGTGAAGGTGGTCGTAAGTAGGATAAAAGATGTTAATTGCGGATGATATGGCTGTAGTGCCCCGGAACCTTGCGCAGGCATTTGTCGCAATCAGCTCGAAATCCCATGGAAATGGACACCTTCTTCTTGTTCATATAGGGTACACTTGGATAGCCGGGTTGCGTGGCTTGTTGTTGTGATTCAGTCGTGCCGAACCACTGCGACGGGTCTCGTTGATATGGGGGGAGCGCCGGGGATGTCGATCGAGATGCACCGCTTGCCATCTCAGCATCACTCATAGTGCATTTGCCACGAGAAACCACATTCTCATCCTCGCTGATCGGACTTGGGAGACGCTGAGTGGACCAAAAAGTTTCTTGACTCCTCTCGGTAGACACCTTTTCATGATGACCGATCTTATTTGTAGACTCCACGAAGGCCTGGTCCATCACTGACGCAGATGGATTTCTTGTTGAATTATGTTCGGATGTCGTGAATACTTTTGATTGTTCGCTGATGTTGAGGAACTGGTTGACAAGATTGTGTGGGATTGGTGATGGTTGAATGCTTCCATTGCGAGGTGTGCTGCCTGGCCAGTCGTGCGGATTCTCATTGCTAGTCAGGTTATGGGTGTCCCCTCCGCTGTCAACGTCCATCTTCGTGCTGAATATCGGGATGGAGGAGTCGAAGGTTGGCGAAACACAACTCGAGGCGTTCACGGCTGCCGTTGTAGGATGGCGTAGTGTCCGAGTGATGCCATCATCATCATCATCTGACGACTCGGCAGGAGTTAAAGTAGGTAGACTAAGGCGAGTGGACGTCTGGCAAGCTACGGTATAGGAGAGTCCTCGGTGATTATCTGGCGAGGTGCGCAAGGGTAGAGGGCGCGGTTTCTGGATGAGTGACAATCAGTAGTTGTAGGGCGGATGACTTGCAGGCAAAACAAGTGCAACATCAATCGGGCGGGAGACAGATTTGCCTTGCTTCAACAAAATGAGCATGGCATCAATCGGAGAGAATACGGACCTTGTTCCCCCTGAGCCCAGTTTCATCATCACCCGTCAGCTCATCTGGCTCCCTCTGTCGTTTTGAGAACCCTAACATGACCTTCTCATCGTCCCACTGAAAAGACGGTGACCCGTTTGGGTAGAAAACGTCAAGATATGATGTGATTATTCAACTAGAATGGATGAAGAATGTACGTTCAAGCCTGCATTCAGTCAATTGAAATATTTGAAGGGAAAGGGCATTGAGAAACATTGAGAAACCTCCCTAACTTGAGGCCAGCATACGCATCAACGAGAACGGTAATAGAGTAATATGCAGAGGAAGCAGATCAGTAAGCTCGCATCGTCTGGGAGCTCTGAATAACCTAGTCTGGACTACCTCTCTAGTTGGTCATCAATTCGCGAGACTCCCCAAGACTAAGAGGCTAAGACTGAGCTTCAGCCTTCCTCTCCGTCCCTTAGCCTCAAAAGCGGAGTAGCGGACCTATGTGGAACAGTGGAGAACAATTTTATGCTTCGCTTATCTGACTTATCGCTCTGTACTACTACGCATCAGCTAACTACAAGAGTATCTGACTGGTTTGGTAATCAGCCTTAACCTGCATTTCATGTGTACTTGAGGTATTCAGCACTGTACGCCTGACTATTATTACTGTAAGTATTCTTCTCAAGGACATAAAGTCCATACCACGTAGGACTGCGGACGTCATCTGCATGAGTGATGACTGAAAGTAGTCATTCGGTTTTAGTCAGATCAAGAAACTCGAGCTCACGACAAATTGACCTTCGGTCAGTAAGGGACTTGGTATGGGTCTAGACGTCTTTGGCCGACATGGAGTACTACAACAATTAAGTGAATACAACCAACTACCTAGGTGGTGGACAATGTGCGGTGAGATGGATTACAGAATACCTACCATCACTACCCTACGTTTGATCTCTACAGGATCCATTTCGAGGTGTCAGGTAAGGGAGTGACAAAGTGTGTTGGGTGGCACTTAAGTCCAATGCTTATAGGTCACAAACTGGTGAGGTAGAAGCGTAGAATAATGGACTGTGATAACGCTGAGTCTTGTTTCAAATTCTCTTTGTCTTTTTAGTTGGCGGTAGAGTGGGTAATAATGAGGTTTATCATCGAAGCAGTCGATGTCTCGCAGATATTTCCATGTCCTAAGTACCTGGTACTTCGATTCAACAGTACGGAACTGTCAGAACCTTAAGATACTTAGCTACTTAAAAGTACCTACTCTGTACCTAGGTACAACCGTACAACCTGCATTATTCCATGCGACCGGCCGAGTAATTACAATACCGGTCAATATAAGTGGTCAGCTTTATTCTTTGGTTGGCATCTTTTTTTCTGTGTGAATCATTTTGTTTCCCCACCTAAGATACCCGATCTGCAATTTTACTCTGTCTGTTATACTCATATCCCATCTGGCATAAATAACCACTTCCATATCACCATCTTACCCTGTGACTGATATTCCCTCTTCAATTGGGTCTGGACGTCTTTCATTATTGGGTTTCGCTACTTCGCTTCGGATTTTGACTAAGGTACAAAAACCACTGCTCCGTCTTTCATCCTCAAAGCTTTCAAAGAACTTTTTGACTCCGACATCGCTGCAACCCCTCGATAAATCATGCCCCTCGTCAAAACCACTGAGGTCAACGAGGACACTCGTGGTAAGTGTCTCTTCTTTGTTCTACTAGGAACTGCTCTTCTCTCTAATCGAATCGGTCTTTTCTCTTCAGTCCTGGGATATGACCCATTGCTTTCCCCCCAGTTCCTTCAGTCCGAAATCCCGGCTGTGAGTCACACCATTTCGCAGTAATTTCTCTTTTCCCCCTGTTTCCTGCCCGAGCCTCAAACAATATGTGACTGCAAAATCCTCTTCGCCTCTTCAGAAATGCCAGATAAACCATATCGTGAAGGGTACAACATTGGGACTGACAAGTGTTGGTACAGCCTGCCCATGCGATTGAGGCAGTCCGATCTGGCCGTAACCAGGCCATTGAGATCATCGAGCAACGGGATGACCGCCTTCTGGTTGTTGTAGGTCCATGCTCGATCCATGACCCTGCTACAGCGATCGAGTATGCAACCCGTTTGAAGGAGCTGTCTCACAAACTTTCTGGGGAGCTCTGTGTGATTATGCGTGCCTACCTGGAGAAGCCCCGCACAACAGTTGGCTGGAAGGGTCTGATCAATGACCCGGATATCGACGAAACCTACAACATCAACAAGGGCCTGCGCGTCTCTCGTAAGCTCTATGCTGATCTTACTGGCATGGGAATGCCCATTGCTAGCGAGATGCTCGATACCATTTCCCCTCAGTACCTTGCCGATCTCATCTCTCTTGGAGCTATTGGTGCTCGTACGACCGAGTCACAACTGCACCGTGAGCTGGCCTCTGGTCTGAGTTTCCCTATTGGCTACAAGAACGGTACGGATGGCAACCTCACTGTTGCTATCGACGCCATTGGAGCTGCCTCTCACCCCCACCGTTTCCTTGGTGTGACCAAGCAGGGCCTTGCTGCCATCACGAAGACGTCAGGCAACGAGCACGGCTTTGTGATTCTTCGTGGTGGTAACAAGGGAACGAACTATGATCGAGAGAGCATTAAGAGCGCCCGGGAGGCCCTGCGGGCCAAGAAGCAGCGCGAGGTGGTCATGGTGGATTGCTCTCATGGGAACTCGAAGAAGGACCACCGCAATCAGCCTCTCGTTGCTAAGGAAGTGGCAGACCAGCTGCGTGAGGGTGAAGACGCCATTGTCGGTGTCATGATCGAGTCCAATATCAATGAAGGCAACCAGAAAGTGCCCCCTGAGGGTCCCTCAGGACTTCTCAAAGGTGTCAGCATTACAGATGCTTGCATCAACTGGGAAACAACTGTCACTGTGTTGGAGGACCTCGCTGATGCAGTCCGTGCCAGAAGGGCCGTCAAAGCTTCTAAATCAAACGGTATCAACGGTGCCTCGCAATAAGCAGTTCCCTTGGGCAGTTTCCGAGGCCTCTCTTTCTTGGTGATCCTCTAAAAGCTGTTTTTGATTCAAATACCAGGGCCATCGTGCCACTCCCCATCTAAGGTTTATTTTCTCCTCTGTCAACATTTGGCGACGATTATTTTCCATGAGTCTCTAAGTATTTCACCCTTGATTTAAGGAAACCAGGCTGGAGCAAAAATTTCTTGGACCTTGTCTTTCTCATACAATGATGTTTTCGAGCTTTTTATAACGTTTGATTCCAGCAAGTGCAGCTGGCGTTTCAGGGCACAAATCGATCTTCCTTCCAGTGGGTAGACAGGATGCAGTAATATGGGATCTCGTAAATCGTCTTTTTGTACATCTAGACCCACACTTGATGATCTATTTTTTTAAGCTCAGATTGCGAGGCCAAGTAACCAAGGCGGAAACAGATTATATGTACACAGTATGAGAGGGAGCCAGTATTACATAGATCAAGGCAAGGCAGAAAGCTCAAGGGACACCGTATACAGACGCCACAACCCCTGGGAAATGATGGGAAATAAAAGGAGATGAGATAGTGAGACACATGCCATGCAAGAATGATAGGAATAGTCGGCAACAGCATCGGGAAGATAGAGCACGGATAAGTCGAAGTTACACCCGATTCTGCTTTATTGGTAGGTATATGTCACTTTCACCGTCCGGTAAACCAGCTCTTCCAGCTTCGTGTCGACTGCTTCGCAGCGGTTCCCACATTCTCAGCAAGAACATCCAGCTGTCCTGGCTGTGCCGGCATTGGGACTGTTTCGGCGGCTGTCCTCAGCTTAGAATCTTCCGCAGCCTTCGCGTTGAGGGCCTCGAGTACTCCAACTTTGTTATCGGCAGCCCCGTCAACCTTTGACGATAAATCGGAGGGGGTATTGTCCTGCTTTAGTCCACCAAACAGGTATTCCCTGGCCCTGTTCCAGGGTCTCTGAGCCTTCTCTTCCTCCTTCTTCCGCTTCATGATTTCGCCAATCTCCTCATTCTTTACCAACTCGAGTTGCTCCGGTGTTGCTGATCCACTGGCATAAGCTGCCTTTGCATCTTGCAGCTTCTGCATTTCCTTCTCAACCCACAACACTCGCTGACGACGGTTGTATAGTGTCAAGGAAACCATAGAATAGACCGTGAGGACACCACAGATACCTAATCAGAGACGAAACATATTAGCACATTCCGACAACACCGTAACTTTCACCCGCAACAAACAAGTCTTGAGCTTGGAGGGTTGCCGCTTGGCGTGCCTCGTAAACACCTACCGGACGCGGTGATCAAACTGTAGACCATGACCTTATGGGCCTTGTTCGCAAATCTGCGCCCTACATCAACCATCTGATCGATGCGCGACGTTGACTGGGCGAGCCGAGCCGCCCGTGCCTGGGCTCGCAACCGCTCGACCTTTTCCTTCGGAGTCTCTGGTCTTTCGCCGGGTCCCTGTGCTGTGTTTTTCTTGGACTCTGCCATGAAGCTGGGGAGCTTGTACGGTGCCCCGCCAGGCTTGGAGCTGGCATAGGGCCCTGTAGCCGTGAATCGTGTCGCGTCGGCAGCGGATCGGGACATGGTATTGGAACGGGGTTTCGTATCAATTTGTTTCGATTCACTCGTTTTCTTTTCTGTTTGCCGTGCACAATGTAAACAGGCTCTCCTCTCCAGCAACGTATCTTTTGTCGTCAACTATAGAGTTCTTCCGGCGAATTCCAAGGGCAGCGCAGGTGGCAGATCGCGGAAGCAGCACAAGCGGCGATGAGAGGTTAGATCGGGAAAATTTCAGCGGAGGGATGGATGGAAGGAGAGCCAAGACCCGCACATCGCCCACTGGACAGATGTCATCCCATAGTTCAAGAAGTACATCGCTCAGATATCTCTTCCGGATCGAATCTAGAATTTCCGTTGGATCATCATCTTGGGATACGACTGATAATTAATCATTGTCGATCTTTTCAGCCTCTCGCTGTTCGTTTGCTCCCTTTCATCAGCAATGAATGCGGAGGGATACAACTCCGCAGATCTGACGTCTGTTTTGAGGACGCTATCAGCTCTGTCTAATAATCAAGGTCATCAGGATTATCAACACAATCCTCCTT